TGTGTTTTGTAATAAGAAAAAATAATAAAACTAACAGGGGAAATGTAGAAAATAACAAATGTTCATTTAATAATTGAAATCGAAAATAATGTATTATAGTTCAATAATTCTAATTAAGCACCTAACAAATCGAAAACTCAACACAATCATAACAGCAACAACGTTCATTCACATCATTCAAAATCGAAACACTTTTGCTCATACATTCAAACACACGCACACAAACTTTTGCGAGCTCGCTTTCATTTATACCAAAACACAGACTAACATACAATATTCAGATTTTGGAAATATGAGAAACTTTCCAAAAAAAAACTGAAAGAAAAACGAATTTGCTTAAGGGTGGCCAACCCTAATTATAGAATTTCCTGAACTGTAATATTTTAAATATCAAAATAGCAAAGAAATAAAATTTTAAAAAAGTAATGCAGATTGTAATAATCTGCTGAGTTTAAACATTTGTTATTTTTGGGTAATTCAGTGAAGATAAATATTTAAAATAATAATAATTAAGTAATTACCATTTGGTACATACAATGAGTAAAGTATATTGAAGCCATTACAACTTCAATATAAATTATACATATGTAGAACCGAAATCAAATTAACAAAATTATTATCATTACGAAAAAGAGGAAACATAATCACATTCAAATTAACTAAACTTAAATTAATTAGAATATAATCAATTAAAGCAATTGAATTGAAATTGAGATCTTCTCCAAATCAATAGTAATTTAATGCAACCTAAACTAAAACATATTAATAAAAATAAAACGGAAATACGGACAAGAGCAAAGGGAATCAATGAAGTAATAATTTTGAATAGGCGCATTAATATAAAAATATTAAAACCTGAAAAGAATTTAAGAAAAGGAGTTAAAATTGGCGTAGTAATAATTTAAATTTTAAAAATCTGATAAGAAGTTAAGAAAAAGATGCAAAATTGATTAATAATTTTGAGTTGGCGCATTAATTTCTAAATATAAAAACGTGAAAAGAATTTAAGAAAAATTTAATTAATAATTTTGAATAAATGCAGTAATAATTGAAGTTATGAAAAATATTTTTAAGTTAAGTGAGGAGGGCAGATTGTTGTTGAATCCCGTGTGGTATAAAATCACTTACTACTTGATGTCTTCATCACCAACTGCATCTGCATCTCTGCACATCTCCATCCACCTCATCTGGTTGGCACTCACGAACACTCGCGAAATTTAGCAAAAAAATACGCACAAATCTCCGGAATTTTAACACTCCCGTGATTCTAATTATTAATTTAATTAACTGCACTCACGGTTGAAGAACAAAAGCCGAAGCCTTAAACTTGTTTTCAAAATAACGAACAAACACTGTAAATCAGAATGTAAGACTAAGAATCGGCTAATGGCCAACACTTAACTCTTAACGACATCTGTCGCGATGCAAAAGAATTGAAATTTCGGGGAAAACGCGAGCCCCTAGATCCGCTGTGATCTGTCGGTGATTGCTCGCATATTTCGGATAGGAGCAACGACCTTAACGGATGCACCTCGAGAAGGTTTTAGCACAGACGGTCTTGCCATTCCATGCGAATCACTGCGAGCGTGATAAACGCATAGAATGACCTGGTATTTTCAATACCTTGCATCCATATAAATAATATGTATAAAAAAAAATACTGAAGCAAGAAATAAAATTTTGAATCACTCACGATTTATCGGCATCGTCGTCTTTCGTTACAGTTCGGCAGTGCGGCTCTTCAATTTCCACTGAAAACTAATGAGAAAGCCCCGAAATTTCAGCAATTATCGTGAGCTTCTAATTGGAACGATGTTGACTTAACAAAGGGACGTGCAAAACTGTGGCGTGGGGACGCCACAATCATACCACCCGGTGCCAGGTGCATCAATTTTTTTTTGCAATAAAAATGCATTGTTGCTATCAGTTGGTATTAACATTAAACAATAGAAAATGGCGAGAGGAAAGCGTCGGTCCGCCATTTTGTTAGAATCGTAATTTCTAATTAACTAACGCGAATATCTCAATTACTAATTATAATGGAAAACGCACATTTTAACACAAGCTATGCAATCGATTAGCGAACTAATTAGGAGACTTTCAATGAAATGCGAATATTTTTTTTTGTTTACTATCAGATTCATCACTAACCTTTAATAGCCGCTAAATCTGATGGGATTGTGTGATTTCCGTTGAAGGTTTTCGCTAAAGCACCATAATTCATTGGATTTAAACCAGTTGCACAACAATTTTGAACTTTTAAACCCGAAAAGTACGTCGACTCAGAAGACCAGACCAAGACTGAGCGTCCCTCTTCGCGCACCGACGCAGCCGCAGTTGGTGATACCAACTCATATTTAAGTTATAAAATTTTGATAATATCAAAACTCCCTCTTGTGGATCAATTGATAAATACATTTGCGCCAATATGACAAAAAAATAATTTCCAATGAGATGACTATGAATGAATGAGCTAATGCCAATATGTGTGTTCGATTAGTATTTCCCATAGGAAATGTTAATCGATAGATCACATTGAAAGAAGTTCATCGAAAAGAATATCAAATCACTTATAAACCAATCGATTAGTTTGCACTGGAAGAAATTCTTCATATTAACTCATCCTTCGAGCTGGAACAATGCATGCATTTCATTTGTGACTTACAACCAATCGATTAGTCTATTATAGAATATTGATAATTCCTTCGAGTCTGATTTGGCATTAATTAGCAGACACACTTAATGATATAGATAGTTATAAAATAACTGTCCGAACAAATTGAGTACAGTTTACAGCAAAGGAAGAAATAAAGTTTTGAATTGCTCACAATTGATTAGCATCGTCGTCCATGGTTACGATTCAGGACCGCGGCTTTCCAATTTCCACTGAAAACTAATGAGAAAGTCCCGAAATTTCAGTAATTATCGCGCACATCTAATTGGAATCTTATTGACTAAACAAAGGGACGCCACGATCGTAGCAACAGACACCCGGCACGTCAATTTTTTTTTTTTTGCAATAAAAATGCATTGGTAACAATTAAACAAAAGAAAGTGGTGGTGGGAAAGCGTCGGTCCGCCATTTTGCAAGAGTCTAAATTTCTAATTAATTAACGCGAATATCTCAATTAATAATTATAATGGAAAACGCACATTTTAACACAAGCTACGCAATCGATTAGCGAACAAATTGGGAGACTTTCAATGCATTGCGAATTTTTTTTTGGTTTCGTATCAGATTCATCACTAACCTTTAATAGCCGCTAAATCTAATGGGATTGTGTGATCTCCGTTGATGGTTTTCGCTAAACGCACCACAATTCATTATATTTAAACCAGTTGCACAACAATTTTGAACTTTTAAACCCGGAAAGCACGTCGACTCATAGAAGACTGACTGACTGACCGTCCCTCTCCGCGCAACGACGCAGTCGCAGTTGGTGATACCAACTCATATTTAAGTTATAAAATTTTGATAATATCAAAACTCCCTCTTGTGGATCAATTGATAAATACATTTGCGCCAATATGACAAAAATTTATTTTCCAATAAGATGACTATGAATCAATGAGCTAATGCCAATATGTGTGTTCGATTAGTATTTCCCATAGGAAATGTTAATCGATTGATCACATTGAAAGAAGTTCATCGAAAAGAATTTCATATCACTTATAAACCAATCGATTAGTTTGCACTGGAAGAAATTCATCATATTAACTCATCCTTCGAGCTGCAACAATGCATGCATTTCATTTGTTACTTACAACCAATCGATTAGTTTATTATAGAACATTGATAATTCCTTCGAGTCTGATTTGGCATTAATTTACATCAAATATTAGCAGACACACTTAATTATATAGATAGTTATAAAATAACTGTCCGAACAAATTGAGTACAGCTGTAAAAAAAAAACAAAGGAAGAAATAAAGTTTTGAATTGCTCACGATTGATTGGCATCGTCGTCCATGGTTACGGTTCAGGACCGCCGCTTTTCAATTTCCACTGAAAACTAATGAGAAATCCACGAAATTTTAGTAATTATCACGCACATCTAATTGGAATCATGTTGACTAAACAAAAGGACGCGCACAACTACGTCATAGAGACGCCACGATCGTACCAACAGATACCTGGATCGTCAATTTTTTTTTGCAATAAAAATGCATTGGTAACAATTAAACAAAAGAAGTGGTGCAGGGTAAGCGTCGGTTCGCCATTTTGCAAGAGTCGAAATTTCTAATTAATTAACGCGAATATCTCAATTACTAGTTATAATGGAAAACGCACATTTTAACACAAGCTACGCAATCGATTAGCGAACAAATTGGGTGAGTTTCAATGCAACACGAATATTTTTTTTTTGTTTAGTATCAGATTCATCACTAAACTTTAATAGCCGTTAAATCTAATGGGATTGTGTGATCTCCGTTGATGAGACACAGCACAATTCACTGGATTTCAACTAGTTGCACAACAATTTTGAACTTTTGAAACAGGAGCGAACGCCGAAACCAGCCGAAGCATCGAAGAACAAACCACGATTGAGCGTCGTCCCCTAGCGGCGAACCGACGCAACCGCAACAGGTGATACCAACTCGATTTTGTTTAAATGCAAAATATGTCGTAATTGTTTAAATTCTATTCCCATTGTTGCTTTTGTTTTTCAGGACACGAACCTGTTTTCCAATGTATGCAAATCGCGGTGGCCAGTTCCGCCCAGGAACATTCGATTGTTTCTGTATTTATAATCGACGAAACCGCGATGAAACAGTCTACTGATCGCAGTGCGCCATGGTCGATTCGAACGAAATCCGAGAGCTTTTGCCCGAATTCCCCGCCGGTCCTCTGGACGAGTTCAGAGGCAAAGCCTCCTTCGATTGGAGGAAACTGAAGTTGTTCTTGGAACCGAAGGACGTGATCCTGTACAAAGTACGCAGCATCTTAGCAATGCGATTATTGAAAGTAATTTTTAGTAATGTGGGATTTTTCAGAAACGATTCGTGGAAGCGCTGAAGACGGATCCGATTTTCAATGAGGAGGAGACGCAGCACGACGAGATCAGACGGATTTCCGCTCACAAGATACGTCGCATGAACGAAATCCCCGAATTCCATGCGGACTTCTCCGGCAATCTGCTGAAACTTGGAGTTTTCCCCGAGGTGCTGAATCTCGCGGATCCCTCGAACTTGGTGACGTTCATGGTCAACAGGAACTTGTACACGTCAGCCGTCGAGGGTCTGGGAACTGAAAAACACCAGCATTTGGTTAAAGCTATTGAAGAGAGCAAAGTAATCGAAGAATCAAAATCGAGTTTATTTGCTTGTTAATTGTTGTTGTTTGTTTAGAATTTCGGTTGTTTTTGCATGACCGAAATCGGACACGGTTCAGATACGAAGCGGTTGAAGACCAAAGCCACCTACGATGCGAAGAGGAGGGGTTTCGTCTTGGAGACGCCCGATTTCGAGGCGGCGAAATGTTGGTCGGGGTTGCTGGGGCAACTGGCGACTCACGCCGTCGTTTACGCCCAGCTGTACACTCCGGATGGTTGTTGCCATGGTTTCCATCAGTTCGTCGTGCAGATCAGGGACGAGAGGACGCTGCTGCCGATGTCTGGGATCGTAGTTGGCGATATGGGCGTTAAGATCGGCTTGAACGGAGTCGACAACGGGTAACAAACGTTCAATTGTTTTCTATTTTTTTCAATACTTTGGTTCAGTTACTTGCTGTTCGACAAGTACTTCGTGGGAAAGGAGGCTCTGCTGAATCGTTACGCGGACGTCACGGACGATGGCGAGTACGTGGTGCTCGTCGAGGATCCGAAGAGGATGTTCGGAGCTGCCCTGGCGACGTTATCGGAAGGCAGATTGAAGATCATCAGTCTCTGCACGGCCTTCCTGATTAAAGCCGTGACGATTGCTGTAAGATATGCAGCCGTTAGGAAGCAGTTCGGGCCTTCGAATCAAGAAGAAATCTCCATCATCGAGTATCAAACTCACGTAAATTGAACACTGCAACTTTATTTAATCTTAAGGTTTTAAATTTATTTTTATTGCAGCAACACCGGTTGCTTCCTTACCTTTCAGCCGCTTTCGTTTACAAGGTGTTTTCAGCGCAGATCCTACGCAAACACGCGAGCGAATGCTCTCATCCCGGATACGGATACGAGATACACGCCATCTCTTCGGCAGCGAAACCGGTAGCGAGTTGGTTCCTGATGGAAGCTCTGAACGAATGCAGACAAGCTTGCGCCGGTCACGGTTACCTCAAATCCGCGGAATTGGGCGACCTCAGGAACGACGCCGACGCTAACTGCACGTACGAAGGAGAGAATCACGTCCTCAATCAGCAGACGAGCAATTTCCTCCTGAAGATTTGGCCTAAAGTCCTGAAAGGAGAACACATCGATTTCCCATTAGAATCCATCAACTTTTTATCCGACATCCAAACGATAATGAACTTCAGAGTCAACTTTAACAGTTACGAAGAGTTCATCCATCCACGACGTGAGCACACGAAATCTGCAACAAAATCAATAATTTTATTAATTAATTTCGCTGTTACGTAGACATCATCGACATGTACAGATGGTTGACAGTTCACCTGCTGAAAGCCTCCTACGATAAATACGAAGCGTCCATGGAGAAAACAAAAGACGCCTTCCTGTCAAAGAACGACAATCAAGTGTACTTTTCGCGTCGCCTCACTATAATCTACATAAACGTAACTCTTTCTTTCAAACAATCTTACTATATTAAAATTAATTTTTGTTATCTACTTGCAGCATTACATCCTGCAGACTTTCCAGCGAGAAATGTCCTCGATCACCGATGAAAATGTCCATGAAGTAATGCGAAAAGTGTTCGCTTTGTACGCGCTCTTCGTGCTGGAAAAGCATATAGGTTTCTTGTATTCGGGCGGATTGTTCGTCGGCGGTGAACCGGGAACTCTACTTCGCGATTCCATCCTGAGGCTGTGCCACGACTTGAAAGATGATGCGGTAACTCTGGTGGACACGATCGCACCGGACGACTACTTGATCAACTCGTTCATGGGAAAATCCGATGGAAAAGTACGATGATGAACGTCTCATCTTTTTCTTCTTCTTCTCAATTGTCTCTTGTTCATTTGTTTCCAGGTGTACGAGCATCTGCAGAAACAATTGCCGGTTCCCAATGCAAGGCCAACTTGGTGGAGAGAACTCTTAACTCCGTCCCAATCGAAATTATGAACGATTTAAAGAAAATATTTGTAATATTAATTAATTATATGTATAGTCAAAATTCGATCTATATTCGATAGAAAGGCGGATGTTAGATAACAAGAAAAAAACAAAAGAATGTTTTAACTTTGAACTTTGTGATGACCTAAAACTTTCAAATTAACAAATTTGAATATTCGAAAACAGTTATTTAAAAAAAAAACTGTAAAACTGTCAACGAAAACAAGAAAAAAAAAATAATCTAGAAGGCCAAAAGAAGCCATGTTTCTAACTTGTAACTTTCTTTTGTTTCTTTCTAGACAAGTTGGCAGTAGTTAATTAGTTAATAAGTGGATACATTAATTATAATATACAAAAGAAATAGTAATAATTGTTTTTGTTTTTTTTCATATATATTCTTTTTAATATTACAAATATATTAAATAATATTCACTTTTTTTTCTTCTCCTTCATCATCATCTTCACCTTCTTCGATTTCTCTCCTTTTTTTGTTTTTTCTTTTTCTTTATTTAGAAGACATATCTTAATAACAAAATCAGTCAAAATGAAAAAACGGTACACAACTATTTATAAACCAAAGAAACACTTCACACTGCAAGATATATAAAAAAGTCTTATTTTTTCTGTGTTTTTTTTTTTTTAAATATTAATCAACATCCTTCCATCGCTTATAACTCATCGTGATCCTGCTAGAACAGAAAGAAAAGAAAAAAACATTAGTCAAATTGTAAGAATCGGATTGATGCAGAGAAATTGAATGATTGAATGATATTTACCTCGTGAACTGGGACAACCTTGTCCTCCTCCTCTTCCTCTTCTTCATCATCCTCATCGACGGCATCCTCCTTCTTCTCCTCCTCCTCCTTGGCGGCTGCCTCCCTCTCGACCTTGTCCTGCTCCTCCTTCATAACCTTCTCACCATCCTGGGTGGCCTTGAGACCGGCGAGAGCCGTTTTGGCGTACTCGACGTCATCGGTGATGAGCACGTTGTCGAAGATGGTGCCGGACTTGACCTGCCAGAGGTCGAAGCCGATGCCGCAGATCTCGTCGTGCTTGTACAGTTCGGAATCTGGAGAGTAGTCGGGATTGTCGACTTCCGGATGGACCCACGGGCCCTTGTAGACGGGATTCTTGATCTGCTTGGGCGCCCATTCACCCTTGTACTCGGGGTTATCGATCTGCGGTGGTTCCCATTCACCGTCCATCTCGTCGTCCCAATCGTCGGGCTTGGTGGCATCAGGATCGGCGATGTGCTCTGGCTTGTCCCAGTCTTCAGGTTTGGTGTCCTCTGGGTCGGGGAGCATCTCACGGTCGTCCCAATCGTCGGGCTTGGATGCTTCCGGATCCTTGATCTTCTTGGCTGGAAGGAGATCCCAGTCGGCTTCCAGATCGCCACCTTCGACCTTCTCGCCGTCGATTTGAACCTCGTACGTGTTGTCCGGCTTCACGATCAAAGTGTACACGTGAGTGTAGACGTCATCCTTGCAGCGGATGTCCTTGTTGATGAGGACGTTCTTCTCCTTGTAGTTCAAGATGACATGCACCTTCTTGGTGCCTGGGCCGCAGATGTCCGGACCGAACATGAGCCTGTAAGGCGACTCGCCGTGCATCTCCTCGGGTTTCAACGAGCAGTCGAAGACCTTCACGTAACCGCCTCCGCAGTCGATGTTCTGCTCGTGCTTAACAGAGAACTGGATGACCAAATCTTTGCCTTCTGTGGAGAAAGGCTCGAACTTCCTGCTGAGAGCGTAGAACCTAGCATCCTCAGAAGTCTGCAGACCTGATGAACAAAATAACAAATTAAACATAACGAAAAATGCCACGAATGCGACGAAAACGCACCTTTATCAGCCTCCTCCTCGTTGAAGAACTTTCCAGCGGTCCTCACGAACTTGCCGAACTCTTTACCTGGATGCTTGCTGTACACCCAGTTGCTCTCCCACGAATCTACATGCGAAAAAATTAAGATTTAGTAAATCGACACTCAAACAAAAAATCGAAGCCAGCTTGCGTCAAATTTTGGCAAACAACGAAAGCCGGCGTCGAAGAAGACTCACCATCATCGAATTTCTCGTCCAAGAAGACTCCGGCGTGCGCGACGCACAGCAAGGCCAAAAGGGCCGAGACCACAGCGATTCCCTTCATACTCTTCTCTCACGCAGCTCCCGTTTCACACACACTGCCTCTCTCTCGAGATCAAACGCTGCTGCTGCTGCTGATGATGATGATGTCTCGCCGCCACGAACGCTTACGCAAATGCCACACAAAATAAAGCACCGGGTATTTATGTACGGAAGCGGACGCACCAAGGAACGGACGCACCTTCGTTGCTTCCGTCTCCGTTGCACCCACCCAATCGGACGGCGACACCGACACGTCGTTGATACAGGCGTAACGTTGGCGACAGATGGAACGTTCCCATTGGTCCGATCCGGGATGACAACGTTTCAACCACGACGCACGTCCACGTCGGCCGTCTCTTTCCCACAACCCATCACCGATCATCTTCCCTCGCACGACTTGTGCGCGACGAACCGCACGGATTTTTGTCCAGCTGGAGAATTCTGATTGGTACAACTGGCAGTCGCCGATTGTTGGCGCGCTATTTCGAATTCGATAAGCCTTCCACGATTATCTACACATCAGCTTAAACGTGGACGAATCCCACAACTTAAAACAATCGAAACCACTTGTCTATTTCAATTAACAAACACATCCGAGAAAACAAAACAAATTATTATTACCATAGTTACAAATATCTCTGTATCTCTATCTGTAACAAGCATTGCGTAACAATTATTTAATCGAAAGATGCGTAATGGAAGAACACTTCTGATATGATAATAAAACGTATTAAAATCTCTATACTATTGAAGTTATAAATCGATAGGATTATTGTTTAAACTTGACAAGTTTATTACGAAGAAACGTAAAAATTTAGAAATCGCAGTAGGCTCATTGGAAAGACCAAAGTTTTGTCTTTAATTTGCTCGATAAATACGTAATTTAATTAAATGATTGAAAATG